TGAAAAAACATAACTAGATTTTTTGGGTTTGTTTTGATACTAATATAGTGATTTTGTGTTATGTGATTACAAGTGAAAAATCTCGAAAATGACCACTTTTACCATTTTGACTATGATAATTTGTCAATTTTAACTATTATATTTTCTCTTAATATGGCAACGATTCGGCTCCATAATTATATTATTATGATATATATATATACTGTGCATAAATATCTGTATATGTTATCAAATACTCACATCGAGGAAACAGCAGGGAAGATGGTAAAACAACATTCAAACGGTAAATCTTTATATTTTAATGGGGGGCCACGGTGGTTCAGTGAGGGAATGAAATGGGTTTTAACATCCTACTCTGTTCTACTCCGGCTGGGATAATGGCTCGTTGACTAAGACGTTGTCTCGCTAACCTAGAAGTCCCGTGTTCGATCCATGTGTTGTCCGGTCAGTGGTGCAGGACGGAGGGTCTGTCAAGGGACAACATATAGTCGTTCCGATGGGACGTAAAGCCGTGGTCCCGTGTAAACATGGACGTGGACGTTAAAGAACACTTTTTAGTTTAAATTTCATAAAAGAGTAGGCCGAACCGCCGCTATCCGGGCAAAATTGTCCTCTTGCACACTGTATTGTATATGCCCGTCTTCATTAAAACAGTCGGAGCCGAACAGTAGACGTTAAACCCCATTTCACTTTATTTTATAATTTGAAAATACCGCACATAAATATATATATCCCACGTTCTTTTCGGTTCTTGTCTGTCATTAGTAGGACCGTTTTATTTAAAATTTATGAGATCATTAAAAGTTTGGATGCGTAGAATATTTTGGTATGATGTGTAGAATATATTGGATGTGTAGAATATATTGGATATGGTGTGTAGAATATATTGGATAATGTGTAGAATATATTGGATAATGTGTAGAATATATTGGATAATGTGTAGAATATACTGGATATGATGTGTAGAATATATTGGATATGATGTGTAGAATATATTGGATATGATGTGTAGAATATATTGGATGTGTAGAATATATTGGATATGATGTGTAGATTATTTTATTTTGGAAATGATCTGTAGAATATTTTGGGTGCTACTGACCAATAAACTAGCTTCTCGGTGATTGGGGGAGAGGAGGGGGGGGGGGTGTCAAAATGTCAACTATCCGTACTTATTTCAATATTTTATGAAATTTGTTTAAATTTTGGAATATTCATATTACCCAAAAGATGCGCCGTAGAGGTGCACAAAATCTCGGACTTAGTTTTTTAAATTTTGATTTCGTTTTCGGGCCATTTCGATTAAAAGGTGAAAAGGGTGTAAAAATAAGCTATTTACAACCCATCCAGCGTCTTCATATTTTAAAATATTACTTTGTAACTTTCATAAACTCGTAGCAGTAACCTATACAAAGAGAATGTATGTCAAAATTAGTTTCACAGAAATAGCCAATTTTGCAGGAGTCACCTTTCACATTATTTTGCCTGTAAAAGAATAAATTATTATTCGATTTTCAATTTTCTTCGACGATTTGATGCCTTATGCCACTTTTGACTAGGTCAAACTATTTTAACACTTTCACTGTCACCGGAAGTGACGTCATTTAGGAAATATAAGTGAATTTTTAGCCTTGAAAACAAATATTTTATTCAAATTTGTCGTATTTGTTATTGGTTTAAAATTATGATATTTGATTCCAATCAACAAATCGAATGAACCCATACGATCATACAGATACCACGAAATGGTTTCTAACTTGTACGGTTGCATAGAAATAGACGATTTTCTACAAGTCACTTTTCAAGGTTTTTGGTCGATAAAAGTGTCAATTATTATTCGATTTTCATAAAATTTTCACAATGCGGTGTCTTATGCCAGTTCTGATTTGATAAAAACTAATTTAACTTTTTCATTCTCACCAAAAACTGTATTTATAGCCTTCAAACCAAATATTCTTTTTGAAGTGAGTTTTATTTAGTATTCATTTAACATTATGATATTTGATTCCAATGGACATATATAGAATGGATCAATACTATTATTATTATTATTATTATTATTATTACAGCATATTTATAGTGCACCCTTTCATATAACATGTTCAGAGGCACTTTACAAAGTGACAATGTAAATCACACATAAACAACAAGATTATGGGCATGTTAACGATTGTATACGATCATATAGATGTCAAAAAATGGCTTCTAGCATCTTCCCACGTTAGATAAATAACCAATTTTGTCAGGATCATTTTTTTAAAGATTTTTAGCCTTTGTAATCTAAGTTTATGTGTTCTAGGTTAATTATTTATTGCCCGATATGTATAATACAAAGATCATATGTTTCATGGTGCAAATGCTTAACATTATTGTTACCGATAAAGTTTTCCTTCGGCACCGGAAGTAACGTAATTTTCGAACGTCTTTTCGCAAGCAGATAATAATTTTTACAAATCTTATAGATCAAGAAGAATGCCTCTGTGACAGGCGCAAAAAAAAATCGATTTAAAGGTGAAAAAGGGTGTAAAATTGAGCAATTTACAATCCATTCAGGCTTTTCATATTTTAAAATATTTCTATGTATTGGCCATAAACTTGTAGCTTGTATCTAATCGAAGACATTCTATGCCGGAATTAGTTTATAATATGTGCAGTTGCCGAGCAATGAGAAATTTTACAGAGTCACTTTTCACATTATTTTGCCTGTAAAAGAGTCAATTATGATTGGATCTTCATAAAAGTAACACCATTTGATGCATAAAGCAAATGTGCATTATATCAATTTAAGCAGAATTTAAAGTTGACACCGGAAGTGACACCATATTCTCCAAAACAGATATTTTATTCAAATGAGTCCTATTTGTTATGCGTTTAAAAGTATGGTATTTAATTTTATTCAACAAAAAGAATAAACCCATGCGATTATATAGATATCACATAATGGTTTCTAACTTGTTCAGTTGTGTGAAAATAAGACGATTTCCTGCAAGTCACTTTTAACGGTTTTTGGTCCCTAAAAGTGTCAATTATTTTCAACATTTATTTTCAACGAAGGTGACAACATTTAGACAAAAACTGTATTTTAAGCCTTCAAAACAAATATGTGCTTCAAATGAGTGTTATTCAATATTCCTTCAAAATTATGATATTTAATTCCATCCAACATATAGAATGATTTAATACGATGCTATAGATATCAAAAAATTGCTTTTAACGTCTTCCGTTACTGAGAAATAACCAATTTTGTCAGGGTCACTTTTAAAGTTTTTCTTTTGCATTTTAATTTCCCATTAAAAAGTCTCATCAGCTAACTTAGACGTAAGTATGTAACCAATTTTATCAGGATCACTTTTTATACGAAACTTGAAATATAGGTATATCTCCCAAAGATCTCGGTTCATTTTGAATATTGGCATATATTGATCCATAATTTCATGGATTATGGCCCCTGATTGTAAAAGAAAATCACAATTTTAGCGCGTGTACACTCTAGGGGTCACAGTTTTCATCTGATTTTGATGAAACTTGAAATACATGTATAAAACCCAATTTTAGCGTGTGGACACTCTAGGGGTCACAATTTTCATCTGATTTTGATGAAACTTGAAATACATGTATAAAACCCAAAGATCTTGGTTCCTGTCGATATTCGCGCATATCGGATCATAACTTTCTGAATTATAGCCCTTGATTGTATGAAAAATCGCTTTTTGTTTAGCTTGTTCTCTATCCAACTCTTGCAAAATGTGGGCGTATCTTGCCTGGCAGCCCCTTGTTTGACATATTATATCCACGGATGTGTTGAGATTCTCATAGGGTTAAAAAAAGTTCACCGAGTAATGTTTATATATTCTTGAAGGAGATATGAGTGGCTATAAACAATGGTATACATAAAAAAAATCAAATGAGCCCTTTCGCACGTGCAGCTCAGTGGTTCTGTTGGGGCTATAAGTTCTTCATCTGTGAACATACTCTCAAAGCATGTCAAGTGTCCATGACCATTTAACATATCACAACCTGCATAGGTATTTGCATTCCAGTGTCCCCTACTGTTTTTTTAAGCGTATATTATGCCGTAGTTTGGAGAAATCGTCTTCTATTTCCAAAATGAATACATTTCTGGAAAGCTGAGTTCAGGGTCGAATTTTTTGTTTCTTGCAAATTTCAAAATTTTGAATTTTGCCTTTGACCTTTATCGTGCCCACAATGATAAATATGCCAGATAAAATCATATCAAAATCGGCCAAGGCAAAATGACATGATTAACAGAATTCAATTTGGCGATATCTCTACTAAGTGTCTTTCAGTGGTGGGAGGATAAATAATTTCTTTTTAAATTCCTCAAACACAGAGTGGTTTTGCAAGCGAAATGTGTCGAAAATTCGTATTTGTCAAACATCAATTAAATAAAATGTATTTTTCATTTGGTGGCGGGCATTTCTTTCAAAATGACTGCCAAATTTAGTAATATAATACCATTTGATAAAAAATAAATAAAAATGAAAAAAACAAAAACAAAAAACAATAACATTAATTTGGTAATAAAAGGGCAGCGATAATCTCAAAAATTTAATTTCGAGAATTCTTGATGGTAGAAATTCAAAATGCCCGGCAAAATGAAATCCAAAATTTTAATTAATCGTCATTTCTTTCCGTTGGGTATGACTTGTAATATGTGGTATCTTAATCCCGAAATGATATACTTGCTCTTAAATGATTATACTGCTAATGTTCTTTACATCTAGATATAAATGGATTTGGTGGAAAAAATTCTAGGTACATTGAAATGTTGGCAATAAAGATCCAATCATATATAGTTTTTAGTTTTACCACCCATAATATACTTTATTCAGCTCGACGCAAGACTTAAAGGTTCTAAACCGCTAATATTTGGGACCTAGAAATTGACCCAAATGGGTCGCAACGCATATAATAATGTAATCTGATTGTATATAAACTGATTTACACACTGAAAAATAACTTGTGTTGTTTTCAACACAAGTTAGGTGTCTCTATTTAACAACACAAACTTGTGTTGAAACAACACAAACTTGTGTTAAATGTTGAAACAACACAAGACTTGTGTTAAAATTTACCAAACAACACAAACTTGTGTTGAAACTTGTGTGAAAATCTACACAATACTTGTGTCGAAACTTGTGTTGAAATTTCTGAAACTTGTGTTGAAATTTCTGAAACTTGTGTTGAAATTTCTGAAACTTGTGTGGTTTCATAAAAACTTGTGTATAACCACCAACAAAAACTTGTGTTTTATTTTCCCTCAATTTAGCAATCTTTCCCATGCAGCCCCCCACCCCTTTTGCTCTGTTTAACCTGTAAAGTTTGATAAATGAGGTAACAATAATTTTATTTGTTAAATTATCATTTATTCATAAAATGATAGGAAAAAGTAAATTAACACCACCAAATCAAAACTAAATAGACATCATTTGAAATGTTAACAGAAAAACAGAGATATAATTCTAATACTAATAAAAATTTTGTTATACTTTGCCCCCCTCCCCCCCACATCACAAAATTCAAAATAGCTATTTAATTTTTTCTTTACCCGAAAACAAGAACTGAGAAAAGAAAGATCCCTACCCCATACCCCAAAAATATATAATTCAAATATATCTAAATTTAATAACATCCAAACCAAGCCCTAATTAGATTAATTATGCACTAAATTGAAATACTTTCAGAAACTGAAAAGTGCTACAAAGTCATATTACAAGTGATTTGTGAGGCATCTAGAAATAACTAGCATACACAGAAAACTAACAAAAGAAAAATGCACTATTTTGCAGGAGTAATAAAATGATGTAGAACCTTTTCCTCAAACAAAATGAATATTTTGTACATAAAAGGAGCAAAGCATCAAGATTACAGGATTGAAAAATAAAAAAATATCAGAGAAAATCGCAAACATTAAATAATATGTACAAAATATATATAAATAATCACAAGTCAAAAGCAAGGAGCAGCCACTGTGGTTCAGTGAGTGCATTGGCCGAGAAATTTCAACTGGATTTTCCGACATAGTTCCCACACGTCAGCAGTGTAGGACATGGCAAGGGATAATTGGGTATAAGCCCAGAATTGAAACTACCCCCACTGCGTTTACTTTAAAGAACCCTTGACAATTGAATTATCTGACTCAATGACAGACCCTTCTGATCCAATGTGCGTGTGTTAACCATTCGGCCCTCCTGGGTTCCCTTTAAACAACCCTTGACGGATGAAATATTTGATATAAGAGTAGGTTGTAGGGCAGAATCACCATAATAACACAGAAAAGTAGGATATTAAACCCTATTTCATTTCATAAGCAAGGGAAAGTCACCTTAATGTAGGTCAAGTTTTTTTGTAATTCTGGGTATATTTGATCTACATTTGGTTTCTAGACTATGCCTATTAAATACTTTATGATTTCCGACCAAATTCTAAGTGATTTATATGTCACTTTACATTCTATATTATACATAAATTTCTGTAGAGAATTAAAATCTAATTGTGTTTGGGATGAATATTTAACAGTAAAAACAAAAAAAAATATTCAAAAATTGGGTCAAATGCATTCTTTTCCAGAATTATAAAATAAATTGATGCTTGGGATCTCTTGTTGTTATCATACATCAAATAATCTTCCAGCCTAAAAAATAAAAAGTAGGCAAAAAGAATACTTTCTTACTATTTATGGTTCACAATGTTTAAATAAACAATTTATTTTGCCACATCGAGACTGAGTCTCTATTTTGTTTCATCTTTGGGTAACACTTATTGTGTCTTGTCCAGTAACAGACCCAGGCAGATTATTATATTTTATTTCCATCGACAACAAATTGGATATTACCTATTAAAATCTATTTGAAAAGTAAAATATTGTCCATTTTTATACTGCTATTTACTGTAAAAATACACATAGGGTCTATCACAACTTGAAGAAAATCAATGGATGTGATTGTCAAAAATCAAGAATGCCAAGACTTGAATAGGAGAGTCCTAGGCATTGCCCCAAGAAGAATAACTAGATTACCAATCAAGTGTATAGAACTAGTTGATGATTAAAAATACAAATATGTATGGTACTTACATTTTACCTGATTATCAAGCTCTGTGAGAAAAAGTTTCCATAATATGAATAGCCATTTCCAACTGTCTTGATCTTTCTGATGTAGTTAACTGAGAAAAAAAACATACTATGTTTTAGTTGACTTAAATCGATTCAATATTTAAATAGACGAAAGTTTTAATTTAATTAAATTGTATTGTAATGTGTTGGTTTGCTTTGTCACAGATGAGACAAAATGAAAAAAATGAAATGAAATGGGGTTTGGCGTCCTACTGTTCAGCTTCGACTGGGCTAATGAGGTTGGGCATATGCCATACAGTGTGCCACGAGAGAAATTTTGCCGGGTACCGTGACCCTAAGGCCTACTCTTGTATCAAATTCTAACTGCCAGGGGCTCTTTTACATGCACGCCAATGTGTACACGGGACCACGTTTTTTTGTTCAATCTGAACGACTAGACAGCTGTCCTTGTAAGGCCCCCCGTACTGCATCGTCTTACTGCAAACCCGCGACCTTAAAATATGCAAACCAGTGTTTAACCCACTTGGTCACCATGGGTCCCCACAGATGAGATAGTCATATCTACATGTATCTGGACATAAGTAAGATTCTGTCTGTGCACATACATGTAAGTGTACAGTTTTACTATACTAATCTGAATTTTAAATTTCAAAATATTAAAATGAAATCGAGGTTTATGTCACATCAGCTCCAACCGGGCTATATTGTGCCAAACACATTATGGTGAGATTCTAAAATACCACAACAACAATCTTTTCTATTAGAATTGAACACTCACCCTCCAAAAACACCTATGAGAAATCATAGGTGCTCAAATCACCATTTCTTCAGCTCTTTCTTTTCCCATATTTGGGTTTTTTGACTTATTTTATTATATGATCTTTGATTTGCTATGGCATCTAATATGGAAACTGAAAAATATGAATATGTGACATGTAATTAACTGTTTAAGATACCTTACCATATACAAACTGTGTGATATCTAAAACCATTTTAATCCCGAAGATCTTACCTAAACCGTGAAAATCTGTTTTAATAACCCTTGTTTGTCATGTGACTGGAGAGTCACAGTAATTAAAAGAGAGCCGTGTGGCTTAGTGTGTAAGGCACTGGCTTGCTACCCGGGAGGTTGCGGGTTCGCTCCCAGTGTTGACCGAGAAAGCTCATTTGGATTTTTCAGCATGGATTCCCTGTCTAGTCGTCATGGTGGCTAAGTGGGTAAGACGCTGGCTCGCTAGCCTGGAGGTCGGGTGTTCGATCCCTGCATTGGCCGAGAAAGTTCACCCAGATTTTCCGGCGTGCTTTCCTCTTGTTAGTGATGCAGGACGGAGGCCCTGACAAGGACAGCTGTCTAGTCATTCAGATTGAACAAAAAAACGTGGTCCCGTGTACACATTGGTGTGCATGTAAAAGATCCCCTAGCAGTTAGAATTTGATACAAGAGAAGGCCTTAAGGTCACGGTACCCGGCAAAATTTCTCTCGTAGCACACTGTATGGCATATGCCCAACTTCATTAGCCCAGTCCTCTGTACTGCAATGTCTTACTGCAAACCCGCGACCTTAAAATATGCGAGCCAGTGTCTAACCCACTTGGCCACCGTGGTCCCCCACAGATGAGACAGTCATATCTACATGTATCTGGACATAAGTAAGATTCTGTTTGTGCACATACATGTACGTGTACAAATTTACTATACTAAACTGAATTTTAAATTTCAAAACAATAAAATGAAATGGAGGTTTATGTCACAACAGCTCCAACCGGGATATATTGTGCCAAACACATTATGGTGAGATTCTAAAATACCATAACAACAATCTTTTCTATTAGAATTGAACACTCACCCTCCAAAAACACCTATGAGAAAGCATAGGTGCTCAAATCACCATTTCTTCATCTCTTTCTTTTTCCATATTTGGGTTTTTTGACTTATTTTATTATATGATCTTTGATTTGCTATGGCATCTAATATGGAAACTGAAAAATATGAATATGTGACATGTAATAAACTGTTTAAGATACCTTACCATATACAAACTGTGTGATATCTAAAACCATTTGAATCCCGAAGATCTTACCCAAGCCTTGAAAATCTGTTTTAATAACCCTTGTTTGTCATGTGACTGGACTGTCACAGTAATTAGAAGAGAGTCATGTGGCTTAGTGTGTAAGACACTGGCTTGGTACCCGGGAGGTTGCGGGTTCGCTCCCAGTGTTGACCGAGAAAGCTCATTTGAATTTTTCAGCATGGATTCCATGCCTAGTCGTCATGGTGGCTAAGTGGGTAAGATGCTGGCTCGCTTGCCTGGAGGTCGGGTGTTCGATCCCTGCATTGGCCGAGAAAGTTCACCCAGATTTCCCGGCGTGGTTCCCCCTTGTCAGTGATGCAGGACGGAGGGCCTGACAAGGACAGCTGTCTAGTCATTCGGATGAAATGAAAAAACGAGGTCCCGTGTACACGTTGGCATGCACGTAAAAGATCCCTTGACAGTTGGAATTCGATACACCGCAGTGCCGCTGTCCGGGCAAAATTTCCCTCATAGCACACTGTGTGGTGTATGCCTGTCTTCATTAGCCCAGTTCGAAGTAAAACAGTAGGACGTTAAACCCCATTTCATTTCATTTCTAGTCGTTTCAATGGAACACAAAACCTGAGGTCCCATTGGCGTGCATTTAAGCCGATAGTATGGTAGTTGGAATTTGTTGGCTGTAGCACCCGTGTCACAGTTCGACTGCTAGTTTGCGATACCCACTCGATATACAATTCGGCCAAATATATCAAACATGTTTGATTCGGGCGTATGTCAGTGGATAAACTAAGTGAAGTTTAGCGCCAATTGATTCAGCCATTATTATGTGATTCCCCACTTGAATGTGACTAGGAATAGGGTCGCCTGTCCAGCCTTGTGGGTTTTCTCCGGGTCCTCCGGTTTCCTCCCTTTCCTAAATACCCCTAGGGTGTATTCGAAACAGTGTTCCGGTGCAGAGAACGGACGGAGAATGGGTTCTTGTCGGACTTGAGCAGTCTGGAATGCGTTCACGAACACATTCCCGTTCTCAAATCCCACACTACCTCATAGCTGGTGTGAGGGAGAACAAACATGGTCGACGTATCGATAACTGCTGAGAAAACAGCATCATGGGTGCATTTATTAATTTAAAAGTTTAATACCGTTCGAAAATTGGATGTAGTATGTGGCCAGTATAACATCAAGTAAGTTAGGTTGCCAGGCAACGAAACATATGCCCACAGCAGTTTAATCGTTTGCGCAGTCAACAGGGATTGTCGCATATTCATTCTTTTGTAGGTAATGTGGGCATTTACAAGAAAATTTCATACAAGATAATAATTTTCGTCGTTTGTGGGTTTACAAAGGTCGACGCATCGATAACTGCTGAGAAAACAGCATCATGGGTGCATTTATTAATTTAGAAGTTTAATACCGTTCGAAAATTGGATGTAGTATGTGGCCAGTATAACATGAAGTAAGTTAGGTTGCCAGGCAACGAAACATATGCCCACAGCAGTTTAATCGTTTGCGCAGTCAACAGGGATTGTCGCATATTCATTCTTTTGTAGGTAATGTGGGCATTTACAAGAAAATTTCATACAAGATTATAATTTTTGTCGTTTGTGGGTTTACAAAGGTTCTACAAACTGAAACAAGGGTCTTAATTGTTGAAATTTGACAGATTTTTTTGTTTTGTGTTTTACTAATTTAAATAATGCATACAATTTTCATACAAATCGGATGATAATTTTGTTGTTCGTGCGTTCACAAGGTTCGAAAAAGTGAAACAAGGGCCACAACTCTAGACATAATTCACAGAAATCGCAGAAATTTAATAGACGTCTTCGTTTCACTAATTTAAAAGATTTAAATGAATTTCACAAAGTGAAACAAGGGCCATAACTCCAGAAGAAACTAACAGAAATTATTGAAATTAAATAGGATTCATCTCATTAAAATAAACAACATATCAATTTTAAAATAATCAGTTCTGTAGACGACGGACAAACCTACGGACGAGGGCGTATCAAAAGGTGATGTAATCGTCATCCAAAGCATTGAAAAGGAGTAAAATGGTGTCATAATTTATCAAAATTATGCTTAATAGCGAAGTAAATACTAAACAAGTTATCGTAACAGATTGTATGAATTTAATTCATCTTGTTACCATGGATACCGTTCTCTCATGTTCGAGACTCATAAAAGTGTTTTCATGTTCTTCAGCCGTTCTCGAACCTGCGCAAACACCGTTTCTAATACACTCCTACGGTACGCGCAAGCAAATCATTCAAATAAAATTGAACAATATTAGCCTCGAAATTACCTAGCGCCAGTAAGTATAAAGGATCTATCCGACAAACACTAACAACAACTCTAGGTTGATTACATGTCATTTGGGACTCACGTCATTTGGGACTCAAAAAAATATGACCACGACATTTGGGACTCCGGTATACGTCGTTTGGGACTCGGGTTAACGACGTTTGGGACTCGGGATAATTTATTAGAAATAGGCCAATTCAAACAAAACACGAAAGAAAATATTTATTAACATGAAACACGTGGTTAGTAAAAGGCTCAACCAAACGATAAAACATTAGTTGCACTTACGGTTCTTTGATAATCATCGTTTCTCATAAAAGTTTTATATTTATTTAAAACGAATAATATGCTGATGAATTTATTTGAAAATGACCTACACAAAAAACAAAATAAATATTTACACGACATGCAATCTTTTTTTACAAGCCCCTAGAAATTGTTAACGATAATCCGTGAGCTGCACGTTGACATGCTTGTCGTAGATGGCAATACCAATTGATAAATTAGTGCGTACAAGGCAAAGTTTTTTTGTGTAAAAATATAAGAAATGGCAACGATCAAAGCGGGATAATTAAAGCTGATTAACTGATAATCCCAATGTTATTACAGTATGTTCAAAGAAACCTAACGGTTCTTTGGTGGATGAGGAAAAATGTGAGTTGTCAATCATCGAGAATGGCGGCCGTGTGTTGATTGCAGTTATACCGTTTCACGAAAAAACATTAGCAGTGGTCTGTCAATCAAGCTCGTTTACTATTTATAACGCAAATTTTTCGTTTCGGTTAAAACAAAATATACGTCCATTTTAATTGGCCGAAGGATGTGTGACTAATAGAAATATGGCGGGCGGAAAAACTGACCAAACAGTATATTTCGAGGTATTTGAGGTAAGCTAATTTAATATTATATCATAACTGCATGTGCATACTTGTGTTTCTGTGTAATTAAATATTCAAAAAATCATTCTTAGGATACAGCCTCGACACCAGTCAGCCCTGAATTGCAATGTTTGTTTTGTGTTCTGGGCGCCATTTTGAAAAAAACTGACATGACCTATATAATACAATCCAGCAATAGTGCAGTCAATTTCCTTTAAAAGGGAATCCGAATTTGTTAATTTTCTGCAATATCACTTCGGTGGTAGCGGACGTTAAATAAAGCTATTTCACGTACAAAGACCTACAATAAAATCCAGGTGAATTGGGAAAAATATTCATGTATTTTCTTATTGAAGAGTAGCTATTTCAATTTGTAAATTCCCAGTCATCTTAGACAAATAATAATTCCAACTTCAAATCAGTTGTATTTATTCAAATCATACTATGAATAATTGTATTTTTCCACTTGCATAATAATAAAAATTTGACTTTTATTATTTTATTTCTTCAGGCCAAGAACATGGAAAATTGGTAATTGCCTTGTATCACTGCTAACTATAAGGCACAGGGAGCCTTGGGCAGAAATGATAATAATATGGTTCTCAGATATGTTACTGTGTACAGACTGAACAAGAAATATATATACACTTGCTATTACATGTACATTATATCATTGGCAATAATAAGATCCAATTTTAGTTTTTAGTTACACACTGTTAACCACCAATAGATGAAAATAAATCATAAAATGTATTCAGCTCGACGTAAGACTTAAATAAATAGATACAGTTGGTTTAACTTGAATAGAAGTTTTAATTATCTATGCTGCATATATGCATATTTCACCTTGCAGCTGAATCACATTACATATCTTTTTAGTTGATGTTCATATCGTCTTACGTATTTTTCAACATCAATGTGACCTTGTTCTATGTCACATTAGCCTATTCACGTTACCACGAATTTACTCACCACACCCTCGCATAGTTATGAATTTATTGTTTCACTTGACTAAAGAAACATTTTGTAGGAATGTGTGCTTTTATAGATTGGACACTTGTTTGCAATATCATTGTCGGTAGAAACTGGCACTATACCTAAAGAATGACTGAACAAATAGCGGAGACGGGGTTTCAGCCGGCTGATTTAAATTATATCTTTAAATACAGTAAAGCTTGAAATATGTCAGTTTTCCCTCTTTAGAATGTTTTTGTAAATAAGTTTTTATTGTAGTTTCCGTGGCGTATTCCCAATAAGCGTTAGAAACAAAGATATACACCCTTAATCCCGGTGCCGATAAATGTTGGGTTGTGTGGAACATGCTAACAAATCTCAGGTACGATATATGTTTGATTCTGGTTGAGAACAGCATGAGAGCAACATGATTTTTTTCATTGGAGATGAGACGCAAATATTCAAAGGGGTCAGACAAACTCTAAACCAACCGCGTTCCCTTCACTGAGTCCCTTCAAAGGAAGCCCTGTCTGTCTACCTGTGGAATAACATGCATTTGTATCTGTTAAATTTGTGTGGTAGACAGATTGATATTATTTATATAACGTCTTACCCCAAACAAATTGCAAAAGAAACCATGAAGTTTCTGAGAGCGATATTTCGTAATTAGTGTGCTTTAATGGTGGGAGAATAAATAATTAAATTTTTCAAACACAAACTGGTCATATATAAAATAGCATTTTCTGACAAGACCAGCGATAATCTCGTAAGATATGACTTTTACTATGTCTATTAAATGGTTTTCGACGTCTCTTCAAGGTCACCGTCTTGCGCCAAAGTCGTGAAACGCACCGTCGGGGGATTTGTTGGGGCCTGTCTCCCCCAGAAAAATGTCTAGAAATTTCAAGTCGGTCTTGCCTGGCAGTGAATACGGCAATCTGAAAGTGGTCGATTTTAATGTAGACATCTGAACTCCAATCAACAAATCAATCAACCAGGCTGTTGTCGTTGCATTCACATGACACCAGACGTGTCACCGATGAAACAAATATGCCTGAAACAAATGTCGCTGTTAGTGCGACCCATTTGTGACAATTTCAAGGTCCCAAATAATAGTCCTTTTTTACTATTAATAGTAATTCAATCAGTAAGTGCTATTTACCTTATAATAGTCGTCTTGGCTTTTACCCGACATTACACAAAACACCAATGGTTACTGTCGGGTGGTCTCTCCAGTCTTAATGAAGGCGTGTATGGAAAACAGCTGAGACCATGGCTTGTTCACCACCCGAAAAGTTGCATCCATATACCAAGTTTTTGCGCGTGCGAGTAGTTGCATCTGTCTATCAGTACAAAAAATGTGATGGCACCTTTCCCCAACTTTTACTCTTTTTTGATAAAATCCCGGTGCACTATGATCGATGAAATCTTCGTCAAGCTAAAACAAAAAATAAATAAAAAAGTACATTTAAGTACATGTTAATAAATAAATAAAATTGTACATTTAATTACATGTTAATAAATTCTTATATACATGGGTATTTAATTGCATGAGTACTTACGCTTGACGACACGTCAGTGGGATCTTTTGGTCGCAGAGTCTGTCGGGTTCTTTATAGCGACCTTACAAGTGCTGCAATGGGTGGTCTGCTATGAATGGGTTCTTCTGCAGAACCGACACTGGATAAAACTCTCTCCGCTATTGAGGAACATGCCTTGGTAAAAACATTTCCTTTGGCTTCATGCTTTGCCTGTAATGATAAGATAAAACATATTAAACTACAAATATATTATTGGTTTATTTATATTTTATTTATTTATTTATATATTAAATTCATTTATTATTATAGAGTTAACTAGGTTAACTAGAGTTAATTATGCAGAATTAATATAACACAACATACACAGATGGCAATAGAATGAGACAGTGTTCAGAAAAAGGGCGGAAGAAGACTACCTGTCCTACTTGATTCTAGGACATATATATAGCATGGACCTACTTGATTCGACCAATTTAATACAAGGAAATGAATGGCATAGTTTGTGTCAAGTGAATTTAGTGAACTTTAAACCCCATTTACTCGCCCTCTCTCTACAGAGATAAATACTTTTCGTGTTACATACAATAACAATTATTGGCCATTATTAAAAAAATATATTAAAAGGAAATGAAATTCTGTTACCTGTTTTTCTTTGTGTAGTACATGCTAACATCAATGACTGGGAAAAAAAATAACGAAACTGTAGAGAAACTTCTGAATCATTGAAAGTCTAATATTAGGCCTACACATTGATGACATTGATATAAAAAAAAGGCTGATTTGTTTGTTGTTGTTTTTTTTCTTTAACAGAAATAAGATTACATTTCAACTAAACAACTAACACAAAAGTTAGTATCTAGCTATAGTCCATGTCTGGATATACATTTATCCTTTTGCCCGAACATCTATAAAAATCAAAGATGGCGGCCAATAAATGCAACCGGGTATTACTATAAAATCAAGACAGATTCTTATCTGCTGGTCCTAGTCGGGGGTTTCTTGCAATTATAAGTATTTGAACAAGGGTGTAGCGCCGATTAGCTAATAAAAATTAAGCACGATTTGAGAAAAATTAAGACAGATTCATTAGATTGCTGAATTAGCGGAACACTTTTAGAACACATCAAAAAAATTTTCTTTGTGGCGCCATTATATAAATAGACTTCCGGTGCAGTCAGTGGCAGTAGTTCTAAATCTGACTGTTTTAAACGAAACGAATTATTATATACATAGAAGCAATATATACATGCTAAATTAAATACACGGTTTTATTTTTTGTAAAAATTTACAAACCTGCGGTCTGGTATTCTATGTGACCATTATAATTTTTTTTAAAATATCACGGCTAAAGCACCCTGTTGATGCTAACTTCACTACATCTATCTAACTGAATGTCGCTGATATAATATCAAAGAAAGAATTTGTCGCAATGACTAAAGTATAGATACTTCTTCTTAGTTAGTTGTATTTTACGTCCGCTTCCACCGAAGTGATATCGCAGACAAAAAGTATAGATAACTTGAAGAACCATTATATCAATAAGTCGATTATGAGAAACACGTGGATGATCAATTAAATTTGATTGGTTACTTTTCAGTTAACCAATACTGTCCAATTTCGATTACATCAACCAATTACATTATTAAGAGTTTTACTCATTTTTTTTGTTCATTGTACATTGAATCAATTTTCGAAAACACCAGTGTGCTGAAAATCACATGTACACTATATATTCATTTGATCTATCAGTTTATTGGGTCAATAAAAAAAGACAGACATTTTAACTTTACAGACAACTTAACATCAATTAATATTCAAGTCTGTCTGGCAATTGTCTGATTAATTGGTACTCACACCCTTCCAGTGAAGAACAGCATGTGATTTTCGAGATGTGAATTAAGCCCTTTATTACTTTTCTTAAAACTTGACGACTCCCGAATTCAGACTTTGTATGGAGTTTTTTTTTAAAAAGAAAACAAATCTTGGAAGGTACACATTACTTGTGTTAATGATATGAAAAAAACACAAGATTTTATAAATCGACACAAGTTTGTGTTAATGCAATGCAAAACAACACATAACTTGTGTAGATTAGTTTTAACACAAGTACTTGTGTTGAGATCCAACACAAGTGTTTTTTCAGTGCATTCAATTGTTTCCGTTTTGTCTCTAATTTCAAATCAGTTAGGTCCAGCGAAATATGGCATGAGGCTATATAGTTTTTAGTTTTACCACCCATAATATACTTTATTCAGCTCGACGCAAGACTTAAAGGTTCTAAACCGCTAATATTTGGGACCTAGAAATTGACCCAAATGGGTCGCAACGCATATAATAATGTAATCTGATTGTATATAAACTGATTTACATTCAATTGTTTCCGTTTTGTCTCTAATTTCAAATCAGTTAGGTCCAGCGAAATACGGCATGAGGCTCAACCGAATAAAAATTTCTAGCGCCCGGTTATTCCATTCTATTGCGCATGCTGTGCCAGTATTGGTTCTTTAATCAAGTTCAGATGACAAGACTAGTTTCAGCTTCTATTAATACTTTTATTCTGCTTCTAACATATTATGTACAAACATCGTAATGTTAAAGACACCCAGGACTAAACTACATTAGTTGGCCGTTGTCCGGTCTTAACTCCGTGACCTGCGTGGCCTGGAGTTAACTACCAGACGTCGCCTAGCCTCCGACTGCTCTCAAGTCCTGCCTGGACCTCTCTCCCCTATGCCGCTTCATTCCGGGGTTTTAAACCTTTCTACACACAAAGGAATCTCAATAGGCATCTGGCTATAATGTATCATGTTTCATATCAGTTAACGTTCAGTATAGTTTATCAGACAAAGAAGTAAGATAAGACATGCCATCAACAAGTTAAAATTACAAAATGACATAAGAAATTCGACCAAGATCTACAGGGGTCGGCAGGTGGATTTGATATTCAAATTACTTTCACATGTCAAACTGGCAGGGAGCATAACGTGTCATTTTGTAACATACCTTCCCTTTTTTTCAATATAGTTATGAATTATATGAAATAACTTATTTTAAGACGGTTACGAAATTAAATATAAATGGAGTCGATAATACATATATACTACAGTGTTCATACACGCGAGACATTGACATCACATAATTATGTCGCGGATAATTTTACTGTTCACACACACGAGTTCCTGGAATCGCATATAAAATGAAAAATATTTGAATTTGCACACACGCGAGTTATTTGAATCAATAATAATTATAACAAAAAAAAACCTCTGTAAAACTATAATATTCTAATGTTCGCACACAATCACTAATAATCGCGAAATACAATCATTGAAGCCAACTGTAGGGAGATACAAATTCATTTTTTTTTCTTCCTTCATTCCGTCGTCTTCTTGTATAAGTTTCCCGTAATGGCAAGGAGTCGGTGTGTTCTGGTAGTCTTATCTTTTCCATACCACCTGGCCGGAACTGTGCGACATGTGCTATGAAGAGTTTTATAACTGCCACCCATGTGAAAGTTTTATCATCTGTTTATCATATCATGGAGTGAACTTAATTAATAGTTAATCAAATTAGCAAGTGGAACGTACTTGAAATTAGCTATCTAACGATATTTACATTATTATTTACATGGATAGAATTGAAATTAGGATGTCATATTGTTTTGTTGGTTTTTTTCTGAACACATTTTACCAATCTTCAATAAGATATTTTGAAAGAACTTATCAAAATTAATAACGGTTTATCTCTATAATTTTTAAACACAACACAAAACAAGACAATACGTTCGCTCTTAATTTGAGCACGACCCTCTCCTGGGGTTAAACCAATCCCACCTGACTGGGGTTTCACGTAAAACCTTTCCCGTAACATATCGGGACCTCCCAATTTCATAGTATTGAGGTATCACAAAATAAAAAAATCTCTCCCGTACATATCGGGTCATCCCATTAATATCTGGGCTATCACAAAAAAATCTCTCCCGTAAATATCGGGGCGTCCCATTAACATTCGGGGTAATATACACGTATAGACAAAACAAAAAAAAAATCCTTAGAGATAAACGCGTTAATACTTTGTGAATGTTATTGGGTTAAATTTCAAATTACGATACTGTTAACCCAATTCTAGTTAAACAATCACAAAACATTTTACTTTTCGATATTAACCTATTACTACTACTTTTAAATGCCAAAATATGTGTTTAAAAACAAACAATTATAATTTATAATCTTTTAAAAACAACATGACCCATTGTAAAACAAACAATATCTATACAATTTTGTTTTAGTCACTTTCCTACAAATAGTTAAGGACTGTTCCACTACTAGCTTGAAAAGCAATATATTAAATCTAGTAACTACACCATGATATTTAATAAAGCGTGATGATAAACTGCTGATTTCCCAGTTAAATTATAATACATTATAGCACAATGTCATTATTAACCGGCCATGGTAGGATTAGAAAAAGACTTACCCGTGTAGACTAATATCTGTGGCCTGCGATCGTTTAGTGGTATACGACTTTACACGTTGTTCTGGTCTACGGCGCCAATTTATATGTGACAGTATTGGTTCTTTAATCAAGTTCAGATGACAAGACTAGTTTCAGCTTCTATTAATACTTTTATTCTGCTTCTAATATATTATGTACAAACATCGTAATGTTAAAGACACCCAGGACTAAACTACATTAGTTGGCCGTTGTCCGGTCTTAACTCTATGACCTGCGTGGCCTGGAGTTAACTACCAGACGTCGCCTAGCCTCCGACTGCTCTCAAGTCCTGCCTGGACCTCTCTCCCCTATGCCGTTTCATTCCGGGGTTTTAAACCTTTCTACACACAAAGGAATCTCAATAGGCATCTGGCTATAATGTATCATGTTTCATATCAGTTAACGTTCAGTATAGTTTATCAGACAAAGAAGTAAGATAAGACATGCCATCAACAAGTTAAAATTACAAAATGACATAAGAAATTCTACCAAGATCTACAGGGGTCAGCAGGTGGATTTGATATTCAAATTACTTTCACATGTCAAACTGGCAGGGAGCATAACGTGTCATTTTGTAACAATGCTCTCCAGATAAGTTATGGCGTCGCCGTATGACATGAGTTGTGGAATATGTCTAGCCTCGCTCTTTCTTGTCATTTGTTACAAATGACGATGAAACGAACTATAGTACACGATTCGTGTACCAATGGTACAATGTTTATTTTGTCTTAAATATTGGCTAAGATCTCGCAACTGGGCGAAAGATCCCCAACCTTTGTCAGTCTAAAAAATACAAGATATGTGAGAGATCCTAGAAAGAAAAGCTTCGGCCAGGGTATCAGGGAAACAATCAAGGAACTGCGACTGGGGGAGCTCGTGATAAATGAACACGACCCCCAGTGATCGCCCCTTGGACGCTCCCTATACCGCCGGCTAATCTAGATCTACTACAGAAAACCGACAAGAAAAACAACCCCACTGCTACACGTGCTTTCTCTATAGAACACCTGGAAGACAACTGGCGGTCTGATGACTGGGACCATGTGTACACGGATGGCTCACGCAATCCTGAAAGGGGCACCAGCTCGTTTGGAATATACCTGCCACACGGGGAACAGCGAATAAGCAGGAAACTGCCCAATAACTGAGCAGTCTGATTTCAATCCAAAATGACAACTCGGACTCAAGACCAGAAGTCATTTTGGAAATCAGGCAGCTGTACCAGAGGATTTTAGAGAAGGGAAGCAAAGTAGAACTCGTGTGGATTCCATCACATGTCAACATGAGAGGAA